TTTTCACCTGGTCGATCAACATTTGTCCTCTCTTTTGTTGACCCCGTAGTACCCGGTACCCGGTCACCCGTTTCTTCTTTTGCTCGATTATATAGTACCGCATTACACTGAACAGTATGATGCCATACTGTCCGATGAATGGTTTCTTATTTTTGTTATTGTTTCTGTTATTGTTTTGTTTGGTTTTGTTATTGGTTTTTGTTCTTGTTTTGTTATTTTAATTTATTTTTGTTATTGGTTTTAAACATTTGCAGATAGCTCTCAGTCTCAGTCTCAGTCTTATAGCTAAATAAATTCTAATTTGACACTTGTTTTAATTGAAATTTTGTTTTAGAAAACGTTTTCTTAGAAAACGTTTTCTTAGAAAACCTCTTTCCACTAACCTACCAAAATTACTTTCAGATTTCTCCAAAGATGAAACTAAATTTGGCTGAGATAACCTCAGCCAGTCAGTCAGTCCTTTTTCCATACAGCTAGAAGATATTTCTAGGTAGTTCTTAAAGACTGATTTAGGTATGAGTAGCTCAAATTATTTGTGAGCCCTATCAGGTTGACAAGACTCTTTCTTCGATCAACCGGATCAATGGCCTTGGGGCCCTTCCCTTCCCCCTCGCCATCTGTCGATCGATTGCCCATCCAATTTTCTCTCTTTCTCTATGCCTCTCTTTTCTCATTTTCTTATTTTCTCTCAATTTCCCACCTGGATGTTGCTTCGTTTCTTTTGTAACTTATTTTCTTTTATCAACCCTAGTTTATATTACAGTTTATATTGCAAATTTTTTTATCGTTATTATCATTAGTATTTTTCGGAAAAATTAAAGTTAAAGCTTAAGGGACTAAGCATCACTTTGGCATTCATAGACATCAAATCTCTATTCGCCTTAAAGTTAAAGCTTTAAGGAATCTAAGCATCACTTTGGCATTCTCATCAAATTCTAGTTTGCCTTAAAGTTAAAGCTTTAAGGAATCTGAAGCATCACTTTGGCATTCTACCAAATTCTATTTTTGCCTTAAGGAGGTAAAGCTTCAAGGGAATCTAAGCATCACTTCTGGCATTCATAGATCAAATTCTACTTGCCTTAGAAAACCAAAAAATTATTACGTTTTAGAAAATTCAGTTTTAGAACACTTATTCAAAACAATTCAGTTCTTGGATGAGCAGCCTTGTTCTCATTACCAATGGAAACTGACTGACTGAAAAATTCGTAAACCATCTCATTTCGTACTTGATTCAAGAATCATCCTCAATTCTAGGTCCTTAATTGATGACTTTTTCACAGCTTCAACTTTGACACTAATACTTTCCAGCTGTATAGTTTTTGGATGCTGAAGGGAAACCTCTATCCTCACGCTTCCAGAAACGAGTATGAGAGCACTAGCTCGCTTCTTTCCTTCTTCTTCTTTGCTTTCCATTCGTTTCCTCTCCAGCTTCTCTCTTTTTTCAAGAAATCTTCTATTCCCCCACGTGCCTTCTATTGCTCAATATTTGTTCCTTGTCACACTTATTTTCTTCCACAATAATAACATGGTTTTGGAATTTGTTTCCCACTCGCACCTCGGATTTAGTAAATTAAATCATTTGGGAACGCGAGTTTTAATGCTTTTAATGAGTAATTCAAGAACTGCTTTGGTGTTCTGGATAGTTATTTCAATGTTAGCTATTTATTTAGCTTTAGTTGCTTTTCTTATAATTTTCCACTCCCAGTTGAACTCTCAAAGAGTGGCTAAGAATTGACCTTAATCTTTGATTATAGTATTGATTGTAAATAATACGTAAATCTTATTGTCCTTTTAAGGATTGTTGGCTTGGCCTTAGGTGGTAGCTTAGACAGATCGACTTTTACAACTGCAAAATACGAAGCTTCCGTCCGTTCCAGAGAACATTCGTTACGAAAACACTGTCCATTGGATTAGAGTGTGTTCTCACGAGGTAAGTCTCTCGGAGTAAAGTTTACATGAGTAATTTCCTACTCGATTTACCGACGTTTTTTTTGGGTCGAGTCACTACAATGAAATCTCTTTACACGTCGAGTAAATTGAATATCTTTAGATATGAAAGGAATCTCCACCAAATGAGTTTACTAGCTGAATATCTTTACATTTGAAGGGAATTCGCGATGAACTTATTTAAACAGCTGAATATCTTTTCTTCGGAAAAGAAATCTCCCCCAAATTATTTAAACTTGGCTGAAAATCTTAAAAGGAGTCGTATATAACTCTTGGCGCATCTGTCAATTCTCCGCCAATTTTTTTATTTTTTTTCAATAATTTTCGCTGAAGTACTTTCGCTGAAGAGGAAATTTTTCCCAAATGTGTTTTTTAAAAAAAAAACGCATCACTCGTGAGGAACACACTCTAATTGTGGAACCTGGTTCCAACCCATCACCACCATTCAAAAACTCAGTGAAATGTGGTGTGGTCATAGAAATAGTGGACCTCTTCTGCACACCAATAAAGAGACAGATCCCCAGTGGCTTCCCATCGACCAATCTTTTTTGCTCACCCCTTGTGGGCACATCGATTTACAGAGGAGGGGCTATTGTCGTGCCCTCTCCTGTCTCCGATCACTCCTCCCATCCTCCACCCCGAATTGGATTCTCATGTCGGTCAGCTGACAGAGTCACCAATCTTTCCCCCTCCTCTTTCCATCCGTTTCCTTTTGTATCTCAAGTTTTCTCATTTTTTTTGACCAGATCTCTAGACCTCTCGTATCCCCTTTCCCCCACATCCAGCTGTGTGACTTTGAAATTAGAGACAAAGACGATCTTTCTATACACAAGGTCAGCTCTGTATTCGAATTTAGTCTACCGTATTCTTTTCCACTATGTCACCCACTGTCGGCAATTTTGAGCGAGAGCTTGTTGTGGGTACAATTTGAATCAAGAATTATTAGATCAGTTCTGGGTTTTAAAGTTCTAAGTCCTTGAAAGATCTTTGAAAGATCTTCGAAATTTCTCCATCGGAACACCCTCTTCAGCACTAGTGAAGCCAATTATTACAGTTATTTTTCTTTTCCTTGACAAATGAGGAATTTCTCTCAATCTCTCAGATAACCGGCTTTTACAGAAACTTTGTATTTGAATTTGAATTTGAATTCTCTTTTGAATTTGAATTTGAATTTCGAATCATAGAATTCTCGGCGTTTTATGAAAGTATTGAAAAGTTTGATTTAATTCTAGAATAAAGTCATAAACGAGTTTGGATAAAGTTGATGTTTACTATAGATTCAAAATACTGTAATTACTGTAAGTCAAGTACTGTACTTCTTGAGCCTAATTGGAAGCCTAATTATTCTTGAGCCAAATTCTTGAGCCTAATTCGTGAGCCTACATTCTTGAGCCTAATTCTTGAGCTTAATTCTTAAGCCTAATTCTTGGCCAGAACTCTTGAGTTTCCTAATTCTTGAGGCCACAAAGTCTTGAGCTAAAGTCTTGGCAAATTCCTTGAGCCAAAGTCTTGAGCCTAATTGTGGCCAGGTTACAAACTAGTTTTATTCATACCAAATCAGATATCTATTGAAATTGGGTTTCTTTATGAGAAAGTTTTAAAATCTCAGATAAAATAGACTTAATAGCACTTGTATTATATTGATGTTTTTTGATAGATGATTTTTTTTTAAGTTCAGCTAGAAACTGTTAAGCTTTTATCTTTTTCTTCTACACCACAATCATCCTTTTGTAGTGAGAGCAATTTTTACGACTATTTATGCAGTGAATGGTGCGCCGAAAGGCTTAGTCGTTTTATTTCTTCTTTACGATCTTTTCTCTTCACAAATTACAGAAATATTCGCCTCAAATGTAAACACTTATATGATTTTCTTCGAGGCACGACATTTGAACAAAACCTTAGCAATGATGTTTTGTTGATACTTGTAGATCTTTGTAAGATATTAATGATCATTGTAGATCATCCCATTCCAAATCTACACTAATTTTTTCTTATTCTATGAAGATTTTTGCACAAATTTATCGAGATTTTATATTATCATTATAGCTTGTAGCCTTGTTAAAATGGAAGTCGATTTTTCTCGTTTCCTAATTCCCTACTATTCAAGTCATCACTTTTTTCCCAGTTGTATGACGGAGTTCGACTCTCGTCGAAACGGTGAATATCAATCTCGAGGATTTCTCTGAGGCGCTTTTCACCTGTTCGACGTGTCTCTATCGCACGATCAGGTAAAGAAATGGGTTTTTTCATTTTTTAAATATTTCCGTTATATAATTAGTAAGAATAATGTCATTAATTAGGCTTTAATTAGTCATTGAAATAGTATTGTAAAAATAGAATGATAACGGCAAAAGATGAGCTCAAAAACAGGAATTGAGTACCTTGGTTTGCTTGTAGCTTGTAGCCTTGTTAAATGGAATCCATTTTTCTCGTTCCCTAATTTCCTACTATAGTAAACAGTAGACGGATTTAGTATGAGTTTGCCCCAACTTATTGTACTGTACAATAAGTACTGATTCTCACAGTACTAATTGACACAGTAAACTGGACTGCACAATTGACACAGTAAACTGGACTGTACAATACTAAAACTAAAAATGACATAGTAAACTGGACTGTACAAAATCATTTTCAAAATAAAACCAACTTCTTTTAACACAGCTATTTCCCAACTTGAGATCATCAATTAAACTTTTAATCAATTCCCCCATTTCGATCCAGATCATATTGGGTTTTTCTTCGCTGTACAGTGCTCTCCGTGATTCGATCATGTGCTTTCGAATTGATTTCGATCTTCACTAGGGCACTTATGATTCGGTTCTATCTCAAAAAGAGAATGATTTGTTCTCTTCAAAAAAATCAAATAGAACATAAAAAAATGTTTTCAGGGAGCGCAAAGCAGAACCTCTCCCCCAGTCTACATAGTGTTTGTCTCTTTTGTCTCGAACAACTCTGCAAGTACAACAAGTTGGTTTCAAGGAGTTTCTAAAGATTCAAAAGTTTCTAAAGATTATCATCCGGTTTAGAGTTTAATATTTATAAAATTTAGAGCAATGCAAACGCTCCATCATCTTGTTTGCCGATGTCCAATATTGTCGAGGAAGACTGTGCACTGCCATCTGGTGGAGTGGTTCGCACTACCAGTGGTGCTTATAGTGATCAATCAATGGCATTAACGTGATGACAAACCAGAAAATGTGGGGGAAGGGGTACTCGCTGAATATACATCTACTTCTAAGCTCTTCCACTTTTTAATAATATTATATTTTAATAAGATTTTTTTTAATTTTGGGATTTTAGTTTAGACTATATTTTGGTCCAATTAAAATTAGATTGTTTATAGTATATTGTACAGCAAACTAACAAATATACTCAGCTTCATCCTTTTAACCTACTTAATATATAGCCTCCAAACGTTGGAGAGCTTAGAAGTAGATCTATACTCACGAGTTATAATTCCATTCATTGTTTTTAAGCTCAAATAAATTGGGATACGGTAATGGGTAATGGGTGTAGTCTACTTGGTAAATATGTGGAATTGCCAGAGAGCAGTGCGTTTACTAGCACCAAGATCCGGACTTGCACCAAAGACTTTGTTCTATGTTTAGGTCAAAAAACTAGGCGTTGTAAAAATTCCAATCCAAACCTAGTTCCACTTCTCGTTTTCTTGGCCGTTTACTCTAAAATCTTATCATACAGATCCGAAATCGGCCATTTTCAGTTTGTAGACAAAAATTCACGAGTAATCAGGTGTCAAGAAACGTACTGAGACACGAAGGTGGAATTAGATTCGGCTTCAAATTTTCCTGATCGTCTAGTACGTCCCAAGTCTGTAAGGTAGACAGGCTTGGGGGAAAAGCTGGGGGAGTCGTAAACTTCTTAAAGTACCAAAACAATTGCTTGACTCCAATACTTTTTAACAATCCGATTTTAGGGACGTTGTTTTCCCCATTGTGCAATGCATCCATGTGACAACATGCTGTATTGTGAGAGTTGCGATCTCGTTTTTTGTCAACAATGTGTCGAAACTTCATCAAAGTACGCAAGAGACAAAGAGACGAATTTTTCGAAATTTTCATTAAGAAATGCTATCTTTAGTAAGTAATGCCACTGCTCACGGTGATCCCGTTGGCAATCGCGGTTGAAACGACACATGAGTGAGATCCATGTTGTACTAGAACCAAGAGTCGATTGAAAGCGAAATTTCTTGAACAGGTAAAATGGAAATAAAATAATGGAAAGAAATAATGGAATAGAAATAATGGAATAGAAATTTCCATATTAAAACAAAGTATTACAATAATATTTGAAATAAATTTTGTTAACGAATTAGGCTCAAACGGCTATCCATGAAGAAATCCGGCTTTTGGACACTAAGTACCGACACAATTGATGATCAAGATAAAACCATTTCAGGCAAGTAATTAATCTCATATCGACTTTAAGATTTATAATATTATCTGTTATCTTGAAATAATTTTTAAGGAAGTATCACATATCGTGCTGAAACAAGACGGCCGAGGTACTTGAAAGTGTTCGTGTCGGCGAGATGTTAAAGAAAGGTTTGATAGTATAATAAATCGAAATTCAAATCCAAAAATGTTGTTTTTAAAGTTCTGGCTGAGATCAAGTAGGAAGCCTTTCTGATGAGGCCTGAAAGAAAATTGGATCAGGTTAGTGATTGAATCAATTTTTTTATTAATAACTGTATAAATAAAGTAATCTCGATTAGAAGCTACAGTAGCAACTGTCGTAATACTCAGTAATAACTGTATCAGTAAAATGCTCTTTCTTCCCTCTGTTTAATTACCTTCCTTCAGCAATGCAGGGTTTTCGCTTCAAAGATTAAACTTCCATTGTATTCTTTAACCATTGCAATCAGTGTCCATTCTAGGAATTAGTGACCAGATCATGTTAATACACGAAGTTGGGTAGACAGAGGTGCGTGAATGAGTCGAGATTGAACTTGAGTCGAATGGATATCGACCCACGAGAGAGGCAACTTTCTCCGATTAGGAACCCGCACCGACAATCCAGCTCCTTAAGTTTCAATTTGAAGGAATTGTTTGTGGCTTCTTTTGAGAATGCAGTGCAAAGGGGTAACCAAAATCTCAATCTTTCAGGTGCAACGCTGTGTCAGGCATTCGGTGCTTTAACAGCTTCATCGACTCCCACCGGTGCATCGACAATTGACCAAAACCGAATCAGCTACACTCATACAGAAGCAATTATTGAAAGTGACCTCTTATGGTGTAAAATGCAAGCTTGGGTAAATGGCAAAGAAAATGTTTAAAGCAGTCTTCAACTTTAGAAATGCTGGTGTTGATCCGATTAGCGCTTGCATTGAGGAGGTAAGATGTAAGAACTACAGTGTTGTTATTCATGTAATTGAAAGATCAACGATGATGAACATATGGTAATGTTTCGGTGAGAAATGATAAAACAAAGAAATGATTTGAATTTTAGTATTCGTGATCCGGGAGAATACCAGGCAAAAATCATTAAATTTTTGTGAAGACCCGTAAAGAGAATAGCCCGTTTTTAGTCACCGTCGAGAGCCCCCATTCACCAAGGTTTTGTTTAGATTTTTCAATCTTATATAACTTTATATTCAAATTGTAAGGGCCAAGGGTTTAATTATAAAGTAGAAGCTATATAATTTAGCCAAATTTTTTTCACTATTCCATTAGATAAGTATCGACTTCAATCTCTCCCTAACATTTGTATATGTACTTTTTGTGCTTTCTGGTGCAGTTGTTTTTATTCTTTTAATGAGGTTAAATACAACGACCAATGCTTCTGGCATTAATGCTAGATAGATTTGTTTACAGAAGGCCAGTCAAACAACCAGCAACGACAGTCACTCAATCTAAATATGTATGAAGCAGTATCTACTTCTTTAGTCGTAGATCAAAAGTAAAGACAAAATTTTATATCTCACTTTTGGAGCCAGTTCACCAGCTTAGTAGCATCCCGGTAACTGAGTCATGGATGCTGATTAAATCTACCATCAACTCCCCCGTACGATTTATTCCTTTGAATTATTGCAGTTATTCTTTTTAGATGGCAATTGGCTCTGGCGTGGTGTCAACCGACCCGCGTTTGCCTTCAAGGCCCTCATATTTTCTATGGCGCGACACGGGAAATAATCCCAGTCGAGAATTAGCTTTTATAATATTAAAGACGTTTTCAGTTCGTATCTCGTAAAGAACAATGGTGATGTGATCAATGACATCTCTTTTCGCCGTGTTTGGGAGGTGAAGTATGAGTAACCGATCTTATCAAATCGAGCAGAAATTTTCCGGTGGCAGTGCTGTCAGATATTTCATGATCCGTGCTGACATTTAGCCGTGTTAAATTGAAAACGAAGTCATCAAGTCGGATCGATACGAGAGGTGTTTCAGAGGCTGGTCTCATTGAGTACATCGCTTTCTAAAAGCACTTCCTTTTTGAGGCCCAGTAGCCAGGAATTTCCCGTCGATCAAGTGAAAGCTTTCAGTTGACTTTTATGAGGATTTCGAGAGCAGCTCGAATTAGCGGTGGATGAGAGGACAGCCATTGATAGCTGATGCCGACAAGAGGTTGCGCTGGTTGAATGAGATTTTAACCAACTTATCTACAGGTTTTCGTTTTAGTGCCGCCCACCGATATCTTTTCTCATTTGCCGCCCAGCAGCAGCAAATCACTTGTGTCAATATTGATTACTAAATGATGATATAATGGTGAGTAAAAGGATAAAATATCGTAAATATCTAATAAACATCAATACAGTCGCGTAATCCAAAACTTGTACGAAAATCATTTTTTTCTCGACCCCTAGCTTTTTCCTAACAATACTTTTGGTACCAAAAATACTAGCTTTCAAGGGCTGTCGTTTGGCACCCAAGCGCATACTGTAGCATAAAACAGCGAGGAGAATGGGACGTTCAGGGTTAGACTTCGAGCTGTACGCCCGCTCATCATGGGGTGGCCACGTGGCTGTCTATCGAGGAGTCTTTACAGTAGATTTTAAAACCTTGAGTTTAGGTTGGCACCAAGCATGGACTTCAACTCTTTGATGGAGTGGGCGGTTCTTGAGGCAATCCCCCCGAATCTCGAGGAAGAGTGAAGGTGAAGAGCCAGGAGCTTGGTGTAGGTTTTATAATATTTCCTTTGAAACGTTTTTTGGTGGTCACCTCATTGTTACACGGTGTGTCCATCCACAGCAAGAAATTATTAGCTGAGGTTGTAATGATCCCAAAAACAGATCGCGCTCAGTTCGACATCTTTCATATTTAAAGGTTTGATTTGAGAAATTTGAAAAACTAAAGCACTATATATTACACCAAATATTTCACCTGTTTGATCTCTGTTTTCAATATTCCAGTTTAAGATTGTTAATCCTTCCCCACATCAGCTCATTCGGCTCTCGTTTGAGGCGCCCGTGTGGTTTATCTGTAGCCCGCGGGGATCGAGTCAGCCAATGTTTTGTTATTAGTCATGCACTCATCTCTGTTCAAGATGTACAAGTTTCAGTGATTCTCTAAACTGCCATCAGGTGCCTTTTTGAAAGATTGCGCTCCAAACAATGCTGCATGCCCCACTTGGCCTGCCTTAGATCCCCCAGCTCTACGTTCAAGATTTTAAAAAGGCCAATCGGTTCGATAACTGTTTCTAATGGCAGGTTTGAAGAGAAACATTTTAATCTCAGGGAACTAAACCCACTCAAAAACACCTCCGCTTCTAGGGCTCTACACTGACTTTTATATATTTCTCACTTTTCTAGGCAGTAACCAGTTTTTTCTCTTCAATATTTTGTACCTCACTCACCAAACACATATCACTACTTGAGCCAAGGCCAGAAAATCTTGCTTATCCATGTTGCCCCTGTTTTTCATCCTAATGGTCATTTGAGAATTGTAAATACAAAGCAGTACATATTTTCCCTATATTTTGTCATAGTCAAATCCTTTTTATGAAACAGCTTTTCTGGGTTATTCAGTTCGAAATAAATTGTATATATATTTTTTTTTCCAAAGCATGCTCCAAACAACACAGACTTTGGAAAACAAACACTTTTTTGAGTTTAAATGCAAAAATTAGGGTGACTACTTGTAGTGCACACTGCTTTTTCCCAACTCATATAACTTTCTCCTAAGTGGGCGAATCTTTTATGATTACAAGTGTCTATTTACAAGATCTCATCAGAATTACCAGCTCAAAATGAAAATTGGGATAATGCTGACCTTTTTTTGTTTTTCTTTTTTTCCGTTTTCTTTTAGCTCCCCCAAGCTAATATAACCAATTTCTATTCCCAGAGTTTGTTTCTAAGACAATTTTAGGGCGTAGATCGAAATTTATTTACAATAGGCGAATGGAACCAATTTGAAGGAATGAGAAACGGCTGGTCAATTATTGAAAATTGTCAGGAGTTTTCTCTTTGGCGTATAGCCCAGTCCAGGTTTACGACACGGCTCTGATAGTATCAGAGTGCACCAGTTTACCTAAAAATTTCTCGAAAAGCAGCTTTCGAATAAAAAGTGATTAATCAGCCCCCCCCAGCACACTAAAAACACGAAAAGAATTGCTTTCAAATGTCTAGTGCGCAAAAAAAGAAAAAGTCGCATTTTTATTACCACCCCCCATCATAAAAGTTGGACAGCTCAGAAGAAAGAGACCAGCCAAATGTTTTCTAAAAAGAGTTTGGCTTTCTTTCCCCTTAAAAAAACAGAGTGAAGTTTTATTGACTGGATATCTTTTGACATTCAATCGTGTTTTTCTTCATTTACACTATTATAACCAAATCACAAAAAAGTTAAACGGTTCATTTTTCTTTCTCAGCCTCTGTTTATCCTCTTTTCTTTGCCACCCCGCTTCCGCCTTCAACTATAATCGTATCTCAGAAAAGTCTGGTGAGTTTGCTTTAGTGCATTTTATTTTCATCTAGCGATGAGGTACCAGCATCCCAACTCATTTTCTTACAATTTTTGGTGAGGTTTCCATGGAAGTTTCTCACTAACTTAATCATTATTTGTTCAATTAAGCATTGTAATGCCTAGTGAAGAGGGTGAGGGCGAGAGCCGATCCCGTTGTCGGCAGTGATCTCTCGGATTTAGCCCGGGGGAAAGATGAGGGGCTCGACTCGAGAATGATGATTTTGCTG